ACCACCATCATCACCACCACCATCACCACCACCATCATCACCATCACCACCACCATCATCACCATCACCATCATCACCACCATCATCACCACCATCATCATCACCATCACCATCATCACCACCACCATCACCACCACCATCACCATCATCACCACCACCATCACCATCATCACCACCACCACCAACACCATCATTACCACCATCATCACCATCATCACCACCACCACCATCACCATCATCACCATCATCACCATCATCACCACCACCATCACCACCATCATTACCATCATCACCACCATCATCATCACCATCATCACCACCACTATCATTACCACCATCGTCATTACCATCATCATCACCACCATCTCCCTCATTGTCACTACAGTAGCTAGTCTCTTAAGAAAGCATGTAATCAAACTTAAAAATATTTCTACTGTTTCACTGCCTGTTTGTTGACTTCTTCGAGCTTGAAGGGAAAGCTCTCACCTAAATCTAAAAATTTCCCTGATATGAAACAACTTCTGCTCAACAATGGAGGATAAAGGGGCCATTATGGTACAAAAAAGAGTCCAGAATCTCTAGACTGCTACCCACTCCCAACACACCTAAATGGTTCTTCCCCTGCCCTGCCCAATTTGCAAAAAGCTGAGGCTGGCCAAGGCGATAAAAAGGGCTCATCCAAACCTCACTCAAAGTATCACATTTCCAACTCCTATACCTGCCCCTCAACCCACTGCATGCTGGCCAGTGCCGGACTTACTGTATCCCATGCCCTGCACGAAGTACTTGAAGGCCTCAGCAAGCTTGGCTGGCTGCAAGAGGAAAGGAGAGAAAGTTCCATTAGTCCCTGGGGCCCTAGGTCACCAATGACCACATGGAGCCATGCCTGTGGCCACCTTCATTAGAGAGCTTGGCCCAAGTTGTTCCACTAATGCCTATATTTCTGTCTGAGTTCTGGAATAAAACACTGTAGCGGGAAGGGACCCAGAGCAGAGATCTGAGATCCACCATCCACTGATGCAGAAGTCTGCCTCTCTGGCTGCCCCGAGCGAGCACTATTCGGCCTTTTCTTCTGACCCCCAGAGAACCTCAAAAAGAAGCTGGCCTCTGCTGGAACAGTCCAGCTGCTAAGGACTGTACTGTTTCCAGCTCCATCTCTGAGCCATCATCCCTCATTGGAGCACACAGAGCCAAGACTCCTCCCTTTTCAGGAACCAGCTCTAGACGGGGTCGGAGCCCCATGGGGGTGTTGATCATATTTTGAAGAGAGGCATATGCACACACAGCTAGAAAAGCCCCCTCCCACATTGACTCAACTCTAATCTATTGAGGAATCATGGGATTAGAGGATCTCTGATGTCCGTTTCAGGACTGGATGAACAAAAGAAAGGCAGGGTAGGGTTTGGTGAAAAACATAACAAAAACTCAGATAATACTACATTTTAAAATAGAATACACCACTACAATGACATAAAATTATAAGAATACAGTCCAAAAGTGAATGTGTTTGTTAGGTTGGTGGGGGATGGGGGGGTCTGTAACGCAGCAACACAGGACATTTATGGGTATGTTCACATGTGCATGTGCACATACACAGGCTCTTCTTTCATCCCCTCTCTCCCTCCATGGCTTTGGCCTTAGCTCCCTGGGAGGCCACGGCTCCAGCAGAAGCCTGAGGTGTGGTCCACGTGGGACAGCAGAGTGAACGTGGTCTTTGGGACCCACTATTGCTAAGCTGTGTCCACACGGATGAGTCTCCGAAAGCACTAACTCCAGTAGCATCTACTTCACAGGGATTTCCAAAGGGTCAAGTGAGTCCTCAGGGGCGAACAGCTTTTACAAACAATAATCTGAATTAAACGAAATACAGAATAGAAAAGTAACTGAAAGAGTTAACAAGACCAAAAGCTGGTTCTCTTAAAGATCAACAAAATCGATAAACCATTGGCCAACCTGACAAAAGAAAAACAGGAGAGGAAGCAAATAACCCGAACAAGAAACAAGATGGGGGACATCACAACAGACCCAACTGAAATGAAAAGGATCCTAACAGAATACTATGAAAAACTGTACTCTGACAAGTTTGAAAACCTACAGGAAATGGACAAATTTCTAGAAACACACTACCTACCTAAACTAACACAAACTGAGGTAGAACAACTAAATAAACCTATAACAAAAGAAGAGACTGAAAAGGTAATTTAAAAACTCCCAACCAAAAAAAAAAAAAACCCAGCCCTAATGGCTTCACTGGAGAATTCCACCAAACTTTCAGAGAAGAGTTAACACCACTACTACTAAAGATATTTCAGAGCACAGAAAAGGATAGAATACTGCCAAACTCATTCTACGAAGCCAGCATAACCCTGATACCAAAACCAGGTAAAGACACCACAAAAAAGAAAATTACAGGCCAATATCCCTTATGAACATAGACACAAAAATCCTCAACAAAATTCTAGCCAGTAGAATTCAACACGATA